TCCCTGTTTCCAGTGTTTGTGCTAAGCTAAGCTAATATTTTCCTATATAGATCTGATCAGATCAATAACAGCAGCAGGTCTGACAGGAAGAACACTGAGCGTGAACATGCAGCGTGTCGTGCGAAGCAGCAGATTACCAGCAGAGGGTCTGACCCACATTTCTAATCTGACAGACTGAGCATGTGCTGCAGCGGTGCATGCTGGGAGTTTCCCCGCAGTGATGTCACAGAGACGGTTGGTGTTGCTGCTGATCAGCTCCAGTCGGAGTGAAAACAGAGAAACGATTGTTTGTTGGGTGAAGATGGAGTGAAGCTGATCTGACCTACATTCAGAGGAACCTTCATCATCATCATCATCTTCATCATCACCCTCAGGCTCAGTTTAAGAACACCATCGATCACGTGTCAGGCTGGTCTGGACCCAGAGCTTCAGGGTTTCAGTTGTATGATGATGCTCTCCAGACCAGATCCATTCGTCACAGAAAGGCTCAAATGTCTATTATAGGTCACTGTGCATGTAAAAGCTCAGGCATCAAAAAGCAACAAAACACTCGTTTTTCTAACGAGCGTACGGTGTGTAGGCGGAGCTACTGAACTACTGCAGCAGCTTCAAGTCGTGTTATTGATAACCAGGATCAATAAAGTCCGGATTAGTAACCAGGATCAATAAAGTCCAGATTAGTAACCAGGATCAATAAAGTCCAGATTAGTTGGTTTATGATGGAAAACTTGTTGCAAAACGTCACCGACTAATTAATAACCTGGATAAACGACGTCATCAAGTGTGTGCACGAAGTGACTCGACCTAATTAAAGGATGATGTCATTAACATAAGTCACAGCGGGTCAGAACCCGTCTCCAACCGGAGCCTCGTTTGGTTCATGGCTCTGAGTTTCTGTGGTTTTATGCGCAGAACAAAAGTAAATAAAAAATACAACATCAGTAAATTGCAGATTTCTTCACAGTGGATCAGAACCAGAGTCCAGGACGGGTTCACAGACGTCGGATCAGACAGAACACACCTGAGCGTCGGTCAGCAGGTGAAGGACTTCTACAGAAACCCGACCTCCATCCTGAGGTGGAGATGAAACCCAAACTGCCTCATCCAGTTCATGGCTGCCCGGCCGTCGCCATGGCAACAGGGATGAAAGGCGCCGAGGGTTCGGTGGGAGGAGACGCTGTGATTCAGGATCACCATGGACACGGAGCCAGGAGGCCTCGGGGGGCGGCGGGCCTGAATGCTAATGTCAGGATCCGCCGCCAACGGCCCGACAGCAGCTCACCTCCAGCGCCGGCACCGGCACCGCGCTCAGAACCGGGTTACTGTCAGAAACGCTCAAACAGAACCAGAAATTCATCCAATCAGAAGGTTTTCAGATTGAAGAGGCTGAAACCAGCAAAACTCACTGAATGAACAAACAGATGAAACTGATTGAAGGTTCTACAGCCGTCAGAACGTCCCGGTTCTGGTTAAAGCTGCTCTGAAACCTTCACATGTAAAAACGCTGTGAAACGATAAAAGTTTCTGGAACAGATTCAGGTTTTATTACTGATGAAGCATCAAACTGCTCTCATGTGTTTCTATAGTTTCTGGTTCATTTATCTTCTGATCAGCGTCTCAGAAAAACAGCTTTTAAAACTAAAGTCAGACTTTCACTAAAAAAACACGTTTAAAGGAACAAACTGGAAACTTTATTGATCTAAAGTCCTCCAACAAGAACAAAGTTTGTGGAGCTTTGACTGACTGAAGCTGAATGAACTGTGCTGCTCTCCTCTGCGACGGGCCGAGGACACAGACCGGCTCTCAGCAGCACACTGGCCCCGTTGAGCCGCCCTGAATGGAGGTTCTGACCCGGTGAATGGGGGTCAGGAGGCGGCGCCCTCCGGCAGCTGCCAACATTATCATGCAAACCTGCAGAGTTTTTGTCTGCTGCGGGAGACGAGCTCTGACGGCGCCGAGCAGCAGAATCAGACCCGGGCCCGCCTCACCAAATCTGCTCTGTTCTCAATGAGCTCTGGTGCCGATCCAGAACCTGAGCTCATTCAGTCTGTCCTGGTTCCAGAGAACCAGCTCCAAACCAACAGGATCCAGTCTCAGCCTGTAACTGGTTCCTCTTGGTGGATTTTACCACCTAGAAAACAGCCCGTTAGCATTTGGACTTTTCCAGAAACCACCAGAACGCTCCGAGCTGCTGGTTTTGTTGCAACAGTCCTGAGTTGAGCTTCGGGCTCCACAGCTGAGCAACACTGGCTCTAAATCCCCGGTTTTCTGAATGGAGTCTGGTGGAGCTCGGAGGCTTTTCTTTCTCCTCCGACGCTTCACTTCAGCAGGAAAACAAAACGTGAGCGACAGTCCTGGACCTCATTCAGAACACAATGTGACCATAATCACATCGGCTCTCGCCTCGACAGCCTCCAGGTTCTAAAGACTAAAACACAGGAAGCACATTGTGAAGCTTTTGTTTTATTGTTCGTTAGCTGATCTTTTAAACATGTTCACAGTTGGTTCGCTCTGAACTAGCGTTAGCTCGTGGCTTCAGGAGCTCAACCACCAAACTAGACACAAACATTCAGTAAATCACCACATTAACAAGCTAACAGCTTCAGTTAGCGTGTTTTGCTAATAAAAGACACTAAACTTATTGATGATCAGAACAGTTGAAGATTCATTTTATGTTGATCAACTGATCAAGTAGTTGACGACTGTATTTATAAATTTTCTAAAAAAAACCCAAAATGTTGTCTTAGAACCAACTTGTGTTAGCTTAGCATTATTTGTGTTGTCTTAGAACCAGCTTGTGTTCCCTGAGA